TGCCCGCGTTGTATTTGGTGTCTAGGAACTCAATCTCATCCAAGATCCTGTTCTCTAAATCGGGCATCTCAGTGTCTTCAACTAGCAGCTCCCAGGTGAAGTGGCATCTCAGCTGAAGCAGGCTATCTTCAATGGGATTCCCGTTTGATTCGTCACTGTAAAAAGTAGACAACAATTATTTGTATTTTTAGGAGAATTCAGTCTAATAGGAATGGAGCCAGCACTTGAATGGTCAAATGATACCTTCCAGTGTCCTTGCCTCCCCCTATCTGTTGCCTCCCTGGGTTCTGTGGTCGCGTCATTAGGACAGAGAGCAGGTTGGCCTAAAAACCCTGAGGAAACGCTCATCGCTTTATGGCGCCAACAGGTAGGTCACATGTAGTCTAAAAGGCAACCTGAAAGGGATTAATTCTGCTAATGTCAAAACAATTTTAGCCCCACCCTCAGCACTGCAAAACCCTTCTCTCCTCAACGTTGCAGCGCACCACTAGTGCTGTCAGAGGAAATGTGGGGAGAACTTCACCTGGTGTTGGGTCAGTGTAGGACCCATCTGGAAAGCATTCATCTTTTTTGTCTGTGTTCAGACATGTTTTATGGAGTGGCCTTGTTTTTGTTTTGGTCTCTCATGGTGTCAGGGTGGCCTTGTCTGATGTTGATGTAATGTGCATGTGGGACAGGGGAACAGGGTCCTGGCTGTGGGGCGCTGTCCAGCAGCACCGGGGCCTTGCTGATAGTGTCGGGCTGTGTGGGTCTCTTTCTTTCTGTTCAGAGAGCTTCTATATTATTGCTTCAGCCCAGAGCTGTTGGCATGTCCAAGGCGGCCTTCGTTGCCATGAGCTCCTTCCTTACCCATTTCTAAAGTCTGCAAGCCATGAATGACCATTAGTTACATGTCAGGCACTCTGTTGGGACATGGATATGACAGATTTCCTCTTCTCAGGTGACTTGCCATCTAGGTGGGAGACAGATCCATGAGCATTTAATTTTAACAAAAGCAGTAGACGTTGGTTGCTTTATAATCACAGAGGAAGGATTCTTTCTCTCTTCTTGAAAACACCTTCTTGGGTTAACTCTTAATCTTTAAGCTGAAGTATTTTGAAGAATCATAGTCCTGCTGGCTCCCCACTTAGAGAATACTCCTAAGAAGATATGCAGTGGCCAGGCCAGGCCCTGGCGGTTTTGAGGCTACTTATGCAAAGGTGCAGTGATGCTAGCTGCACATGCTAAGGCTTCCAGAAGGATCGCTAAACCAGCACTTGTATCTCAAGTCGCAGTAAACGTGCAGAAGCAGATAAGAGGAATATGTAACTGTGAAAGTGCCAGCTGACCACCAGATTGGGACTCTGGAAATGGGACATTTTACGTGACAGGGGCCTCGCTGTGTGGATTCTGCCCTTACCGTCCGGTCAGGCATGAGTTTGTTTCAGGTGGCTTGGCACTTATACCCCCTGAACGTCATCAGTTGTTCCATGGTCTGTAGGTGAGATCTAGCCCCTCACTTTTCCTAGGACAGGCAAGATACCACCTGGGGATCGGACTCAAAGAAGCAGAGGTGCAAAGCTGGATTATACCCACTTCCTCTCAGTGAGTTGGCTTATTTGGTACTCCTGTTGGTGCCAAAAATTAGAAGTAATCAAGATGTTCTTCGGCAGGTGAGGGGATAAACAAACTGTGGTACAGCCACAGAATGGAATGCTATTCATCAGTGAAAACAAATGAGCTCTTAAGCTAAAGGACATGAAGGAACATTAAATGCACATTGCTATGTGAAAGAAGCATCCTAAAAAGGCTATACCCTGTACATCCAACTTCATGACATTGTGGAAAGAACCAAACGATAGGAATAGTAAAAAGATCAGTGTTTGCCAAGGCTTTAGGGGAAGTGGTATTGTTGGAGCACAGGGCGTTTTTAGGGCGATGTAATTCTTCTGATGATAGAGCAATGGTAGATGGGTGATGTTGTGCTCAATACAAAGAGTGAGCCCTAATGTAAACTGTGGGCTTCAGTTAGGAATAAAGTATCAATATTGGTTCATCAGTTGGAGCTAATATACACACAAATGCAAAGTGTTGATAATAGGGGAAACTGTAGGAGGGGTGAGGGTGTGGAGGAGGGAGGTATATTAGAACTCTGTACTTCCTGCACATTTTTCTATATGCCCAAAAGGGCTCTAAGAAATTGAATTTATTAAGTGAAAAAAAAAAAAAAAAGAAGACTTGCAATAAGGAAGGGAGACAGTTCTGATCTTAAGATCTGCTAATGTCTGAAAGGTTTAGTCAGAAGAGGGCTTTTCCTTTACATAGAGGTGCAAACAAGGCTAGAAACTGGGTGTTCTAGAAACTTCTAGAAACTGGGTGTCAGGGAAGAAGGGAGAGGGTGGAGAGATCAGGAAATCTCTTCCCTTGTTGTTAGCCAAGCTTTGAGAGGGATTGTCTGGCCTTCAATACTTGTTTAGCCTTGGGGGCGAGTCAAATTTAAGGGTCTCGTGGGGAAAGAGAGAGAGATTTGGCCAAGTTAAGTTTATAGGCATTTTGACTTACAGCAGTGGGCAGAACATCTAAGCAGAAAATCAACAAGGAAGCAATGGCTTTGAATGACACACTGGACCAGATGGACTTAACAGATATATTCAGAACATTTCATCCTAAAGCAGCAGAATACACATTCTTCTCATGTGTATATGGAACATTTTCTAGAATAGATCACATACTGGGATACAAATCAGCCCTCAAAAGGTACAAACAGACTGAGATCATACCGTGCATATTTTCAGACCACAATAAAGGGTTTCATAGCAAAACTCTAAATGAGCCGTAATAAAAAAATTTGGAAAGACAACAAATACTTGGAGATTAAAGAACATCCTACTAAAGAATTAATGGCTTAACCAAGAAGTTAAAGAGGAAATTAAAAAGTACATGGAAGCCAATGAAAATGATAACGCCACAGCCCCAGACCTCTGGGACGCAGCAAAGGCGGTCATAAGAGGGAAGTATATAGCAATGCAGACCTTCCTAAAGAAAGAAGAAAGGTCTCAGATACACAATCTAACCTTACGCATTAAAGAGCTGGAAAAAGAACAGCAAGTAAAACCCAAAACCAGCAGAAGAAGGGAAATAATAAAGATTAGAGCCGAAATCAAAGCTATCAAAACCAAAACAAAACAAAACAAAAATGAAAATACCCCAGTAGAACAGATTAATGAAACCAGGAGCTGGTTCTTTGGAAGAATTAACAAAATTGATAAACCTCTAGTCAGTCTGATTAAATGTATAGGCACTTTGTTCTGATTGATCATGGGAACAAATAATTCAGATGATCATTTAGGAGAAGCAGAATGAGAATCTGGAGAGTCTGTGGCCTCAACAGAGGGACACAGGGGTCCCATCCCGAGTTTTATATAAGTAATACGGAAAAGGGTGTTTCTCTGCAGTTTCACAGAAGACCACAAGAGAAGTTGAACTGGACAGGTTTATTCCTCACAGGTCCTGATGCCACATGATAGGGATGTCAAGGCAGGCTGCAGGCAGAGAGGAAGCGTTTATCATGGGCTGTGAGTGAAATGCTTTGGGGTTCTGGGCGTAGGTTTGGAATGGTCCCTTCAAACTCAAAAGAGTGGGGTTTCGGTCAGCTCCGCAGGGGCTTCTCTAAGGGGAGGAGGGCAGAAGGGGAAGGCCCTGGGAGGCCAGGAAGGTTGTTGCTCAGACAGGCTGCTGGGAGATATCATATCAGGAACCTCCATTTGCTTGTAATTCTGCAGGCTGCTATCTAGGGCGTGTACTTGCACACGAAGACTAATGTTAGTTCAACGCCCCACTCAGGCTCCTTGGCCAAACAAAATGGATACCGAGACAGCAATAACATGGACTAGCTTAGCTAAACTCCCCACATTCTCAGACACCAAAGTTGGGGGTGGGCAGATTTTTTGACCGTGGCTTTTGTCTAGAAGCACAGGGCTCAGGTAAAGTTCAGCATTGTCAACATCATTCCAGGCTGTCCTGTGCTTGGTGCAGCCCCTACAGCATCCCACTTCAGTGACCTCTGTCCCCTCTGGGCTCCACATGTTCATGGAGACAGAAGTCTTAGAGGCCATGAAGTCTTAGAAAACTTCATTGATGGGACGCCTGGGTGGCTCAGTCGGTAAAGTGTCTGACTTCCTCTCAGGTCATGATCTCATGGTCCATGAGTTCAAGCCCCACATCAGGATCTGTGCTGACGGCTCAGAGCCTGGAGCCTGCTTCGGATTCTGTGTCTCCCTCTCTCTGCCCCTTCCCCACTCATGCTCTGTCTCTCTGTCTCTCTCAAAAAAGAATAAATAAGCATTAAAAAAATTTAATAAAAGGAAAAATTCATTGACATGATGTCAGCAAATTCATTATGTCAGGTTTGAATATGAGCTGAAGGGAATTAGGTCTGCCAATGACTTATCAACCCTGTATGATGGTTTATAAGCCTCAGTCATACTGGCACCTCTGGAAGCCATGTTTTCCTTGTGAACTCCTGTGTGTATGTATGTAATTAAACCTATTTTTTCTCTTACTAACCTGGCTCTTGTCTAACTGACTCATGAGCCCAGCCATTGAATATAGGAGGGTAGAGGGAGAAAGATTTTTCCTCCCCTGCACTATAGAAGCTCTAGTTCTATCCACCCCTTTGAGTTGTGCATCCCTGAGTTCCCCCATGTGTGTGGATATACCAGTTAATAAGCAGCTATTTTTCTCTTGCTAATCTGTCGTCAGTCTAATTTGCAGGGCCCCTGCTGGAGAACCTGGGAGTACTGTAGGGGGAAAAGATGTGTTTTCTTCCCTTACACTATAATATAACTTACCTGTAATTATGGCTGCATGCTGAGTCTGGGAGTCCTTTTAACACATGGGCAAACCTGAGGGTGGCCATGGGTCCCCTCACTGCATGCTTGAAGGACCCTGACTCACTGAAACATGGTGAAAGCATTGTTTGGGAATGAGGGGTAAAGGGATAGATACCTGGGGTGCCCGGTGCCTGTGGAGTCATTGGTGGCACTCATAAACTGTACAGAAAAGGGTTAACATATCAGGCCTTAGACTATGATCCTTAGAAAGACCTGCTTGCAAGGTTTGTCCTTGGCTGACATCTGGGAACTTGGATTTTTGGAATGCTCCCACCATTCTCTAACTGATCAGGCTGGTTTGCTGTGCCTAAACAGTTTGTGCAAACAATCTGGTTAATACCGACACCTGCTTTCCTTCTGGGAGTCTGGAATTTTGATATGTGCTAAGCAGGGGGTACCTGTGTGGCTGGTCCCCGATACAACCCTTGGGTGCTGAGGCTCCAACTAGCTTCAGATGTGTCACATTTGATGCTGGAGGAATTAAGCACATCCTGTTTGATTCTACTGGGACAGAACTCTGGGAGATTTGTGCCTGGTTTCTTTGACCTTCACCCCATGCTCTCTTTCCCTGTGCTGATTTTGCTTTTGTTGTATCCTTTTGTTGTAATAAGTCTAATCCATGAATAGGACTGTATGTTGCGTCCTGTGAGTCCTTCTAGTGAATCACCGGACCCAGGTGGTATCTTGGAGACTCTGATGCCAACTTCCTAGAATTCTCATTGGAGAACACAATACAGCAGGCAGTTAGGGAACAGTCACTCCATCTAGTGGAGCAAGGGGGAGGAAGGACAGGCCAAGACTTGCTGAGTGTGGCTCTCTCTCCACCCTTCCCAATTTCCTATGAGAATGAATACAAAATGGACTGCAGAGGAAAATCTTAAAGTCCAAGGAAAGTATTCCCCATGCATTTAAGAGATCCTTGCTGTCCAGGCCCAACTTTTACAAAATGGAGCTCACTGTGTCAGCTGCTGGTGGTTCTGGAGAGGCTGGTGCAGCCCTGCGTGGACATAATTCTAAATTCCTTTGCAGGTAGCTTGAGGAGCGTTACCACTGTCAAGGTCCTGTGAATTTGCCGTATCAGGATGAATTAAAAAAATCTGACACTGGATTACAAAACACAGTGAGAAAGAGGAGTAAAATGGAAAGCCAGGAGATTCCGGAATCACACACAGGAGTGTGGGGGAGGGGGGTTTGGATTAAGTGGAGGAACTGATAGGAAGAGACACAAGTCAGGGGTCTACCCTCACGGTAGAGCCTGAAACCTCTTGGTTGTGCCAATAGACTGAGGACACAGCATGTGAGAAAGTACAGAAATGCATGTGAGCAGAGTGTCTTGGTGTCATACAGCTATGGACTTGAGTCCCAGCGATACCTCTTTCTAGCTGTGTGGCCTTGGACAAGTTACCAAACCTTTCTGAGCCTCATACCTTCCACACTGGTTTTAGATGCTAGCAATGGGCTTAGCACAGATCCTAGAACATAGTTCAGAGGCCAGTACAGAAACCTGCCATGATTTTATTGTTACTGTTTTGTAGTTTGGGACACTTATTCTTTTATTTTCCCAGCACCCTCCCCTAGGATTCAGAGAAGTTGTTTTAGAAGAGGTGAGCTCACACAGTGAGCCACTGAGCTGGTGGTAATGGCAATGTCATAGCCGTCAATGGAGACAATGTGTTCAAAATTTTTTGAGAGCTCAGTTCATTCCAGGCACTGCTGGAATGGGCATATAGTTGTGAGCAAAGGAGACAGAGTCCATGCTTCCCTGGAGCTGATAAACCTGAGGGGAGGGGTCCATGGTTTCCCCTGTGGAGACAGACTCCCGTTCCTCCAATTGTCTCTTCTGTGGACAGCCCTAGAATCTGCTAAGACATGCTATGTGGCCACCAGTCAAGCCTGCCCCACAGCCTAGGTGGTAAAATGGCACTGGTCGAGAAGTTCTAAGTCCCCACCGAGTTACTAGTTGGGTAGGGTTGGGTATGGCCCCAGGTGGTAAGGAGTGGATGTCTGTGAAAAACCAGCGATTTCTTATTCCCTCTGGGTCTCCAGAGGCGAGGCTGTGTGAGATCAGGGGCACACACAAGGAAGTGCAGATTGTGGACGTTCCCTCAGACAACAGTAGATTGTGGGTGCAGAGGCATCTTTTCCATAAAATTGTCCAGGCAGCAAAATAAATCAAAGCCTAGGTATGTAGGTCAGGACAGATCAACAACAATTCTGGGAGCCTTAGCACCATCTGGAAGGTGGATGGGACCCTGAGCATGGAGGGACAGGGTAGGTAGGTGGCCACGATCCTTGTGTCAATCAGCTGTGTGTGATTTCTGGGGATGGGACCAGGTACCCCTGTTGGAGAAACTTCCAATGTCCTCCTTCGCCACCAGTATTCAAAATCTTTGTGTCCTTGAGCATGTGTGTTTGCATATAGATGGGCAATTCCTCACCTACCCCAGAGCTGTACCTGTTGCCAGTCTCCACCTTACCCCCAGCCACCCTTCCATGCTCTTCCACGCTTTCAATGTTGGTTTCCATGCTAATATTCTTTACCTGGGCCCAGCAACCCCTCTGGAATGGGCTGCTCCAGGCCAAGGCTGGCCAGGAGGCAGCAATTCACTGCTGGGCACTTGGAGGCTCTCCCAGCCTTGCTGGAGCCAACAGATAATTCAGGGGTGGGGGGCAGCCTCACTGAAGTCTGCTGCTTTTACAGCCAGTGTGGCTTATGAAACACCTTCCCAGAACTCCCCTTGTGTACAAGGAAAGAGTCAAATTTCTGACTGCCCACTCATAAAGGAGGTGGGATTGCCAGTGCCTCTGTCTTGTCTGGGATCTGGTGCCTAACAATCTTCCTCTCCACCCAGACAAACGGATGATACCACTAGAGAAGCATACAAACGCAGACCTTGTAACGGGTTGAGGAGAGGTGGACAGGGTCCTTGGCACATCTCCTAGCTGCATGGTGCACAAGCCTGTGGGTCTCCGCAGCTGGGAGGGACTACTTGAATATTTTCATACCGTCGGGCGGGTGAAGATCTCTGTCTCTATAGCCAGCCTAGTACTGGCACCTCTTACACACCGTCAGGAGGGCAACTGTCCAGGCATTGCTGGGTGCACAGCAACCCTGCAGAAGCTTCTGGCTGGGCACTGCACTCTGCCGGGGCCCCTGGACTGGAATAAGAGAGATAGTTCCCATGGCCAAGGGCAGGCCAGCTACAGGGGAGTGTTAGCTAACAAGGGCACGTTGACAGTAGTATGATATGGCTGTAGCAGTTACCCACTGTCCCTAGACAGTGTCCCGAAGAGAAACTTTGGGAATTAATATTACTCTCAGTCACACATGCAAAGCACACAACTACTTTATCCTGAGTCAAAATTTTAAGGTTTATTGTAGCATCACTATCAAGAATACGTATTTATTGTAGTATCACAATCAGGAATATATATACATGGCTGAAGCCAAGAGTCAGACAGAAGGAATATTCCAGGATTAGTCAAAAGGTGGTCTTTCAGGGGGTCCAGAAGGCTAGATAGCAGTGGGGCAGAGGGCGGGAGACCTGGGAGCAGGCAGCGGCGAGCTAAGACTCTTGGCAAGAAGGGCAGAAATGGGGGCTATCCGGTGAACTGAGTGCAAACTGAGAATTACTCAGCAGCATGCAGGCCTGAAGCACTGTTTCCACTGCTAATTTTGTTATAAGACCTGCGGACTAGGGAAGTGCGTGTGGCTGATATGCACAGGGGAGACAGACACGAGGAAACAACTCCTCAGATGTGCCCTAAAGCAATAAGTGAGACCAGCACCCCACGCTCCCTGACTGTGCTCCCGTCCCTCCTCTGTGTTTCAGCTCAGGGTTGGGGGAGCTCTGAGAACGGGGCTGTGTGGGCCCCGGCCTGCTTCCTCACTGCCTTGTTCAAGCTCAGGGGATGGCAGGAAAAAGCTGCCTATGCCGGTAGGGCTGTTCCTTAAGAGGTAGCCCAGTTCCTTCTCATAACATTCAGCTGCCTGAAGCAGCTCTCCGTTCAGCTTGTGGATTAATCCTTGGAGATACCAAGAATTGGGTGCATTTTGTGGAAGCTGATTTCCAGCTATATTCTGTGGTGGGCACTTCATCTTTCCCTTCTCAGCTGGTTTTGTGCTTGTGGGCACACCCTCTAAATCACGTTGGACAGAAGTGTCTTCAGACTTTCCATGATGCCCCTCAAAGTCGCAGTAGTGCTGGTGGGGTTGTAGCCTCCCAGTGTTGGGGAGCTCCTTACTGAAAGCTGTCTGAAAACAGTCTTCTCTTTCCAGGAGGTCGGTGACATCAGAATATGCATACAGTGGATCCACTCCTTTCTCAATAGCTTTGATCACATAGTCAATAGCATGTTTCTTTAGTTCTTCAATCTTCTCTCCATTCTTGCCAGCTTCAGATTCTCCTGCACTCTGAATCTGTTTGACTTTTGCCCTATAGCAGCATGCAATCTGGTGATACAGGTAACCATTGTTTGGAATGGATTTCGATGCCCTTAGAAACAGTTCAATAGCTTTGTCCAGATCACCTTTATTTTTGTAAAATGTGGCTGCATTGAGAAGGACATCTGCTGGGCAAGGAGTGTTCTCCACGGCCTCTAGGACCAACCGCTCCCCTTCAGCTTCTTCATTCATCTTCTGCAATTTCAGGGCCAAGAGTACTTTGACATACTGATCGTCGGGATTCAGCTCAAGGGCCTGCTTCAGATCATCAACAGAGAATGGCTTCTGTGGTTTATTATCCAGATGGTATGTTGCGATGGCCAGTCCAGAAGAGAATTCTGGGTTGTTGGGCTTCTCTTCCAGAGCCTTCTCGAAACATACCTTGGCCCTTTCGTTGTGCTTTCCTCCACACTTTAGCAGTGTCCACCCTTCTTCACAGTCAAGCTCAGGGCACTCCATACTGTATGGATTTGAAAACTTCCCGCATACTTGTTTCACCTTGTCCACATACATCTGAGCATCTGTGAGTCTGCCCAGGTGATAGTAGACCCAGGCATAGTTTCCCCAGGTGACCAGCCTTCTGATTTCTGCTTGATCAGAGTGTTCTCGCTGGACCAGCTCCT